CTCTTCACAAGTCTCTTCACAAGTCTCTTCACAAGTCTCTTCACAAGTCTCTTCACAAGTCTCTTCACAAGTCTCTTCACAAGTCTCTTTACAAGTCTCTTCACAGCTAGGTAATATTAAATGCAATTGCAAAAATTCGTGCGATAAAAGTCATTATAAATGTAAAAAAATGAAAGTGCTCATTAATCATAAATGTAAAATCTTCATATAATGCGCAATGTTATAACTAAACTCTATCTTAAAATGACTAAAATTCCAAACCAACATACTTGATGAAATATACTTAATTTTGTTGTAAGTTGAATTGGAATTCTTTAAAAACTTAGATATATTTTATAATTCTATTATAACCTATGTTTATTTGAATCAACCTAGGTGCTTTCTAAATCTACAATAATTACACTTTGACATACAATATAGACATTACTATAGCTAGAAAAATGAAAATCATTATAGTTTGAAGCATAAAATTTTAGGTTTGTATAGAAAGTTAAATAATTACAACTCATTCCTATTATAATGATAAATTTCTAAGATACAGTATATTATTGAATTTTAATTTGATACATATAATAGGTTTATGATATACAGTTAATTAGGAATGTAAAAGTGAACAAACAGAATATACATGATAGTATTGATCAAAGTCTAATATAAAAACAAACCATTCTTTACTATGTTTCAAATAATTACTAAATTTAGTTTAAAAATATACATTGATAATCATATTTTTTATAATATAAAGATGTTAAGTAAAAGAATTTGGATTTTATAACATATAACATTAACTAATCAAATTGATTAAAAACTTTATATACAAATGAAATAATTTTATTCTATTTAATTATTACAACCTTTATCAATTATTTAATGCAATATTTAGTTTAATTAAACACTATACGAAACAATATTATCTGTATATATTACTAGGAATCAGAAACTGATATAAGTCCAAAGTATAATAAATAAAGTATAAATAAATAAAACTTGTTTGTTGCTTAAAAATAGTTTTGCAATCATGTGTCACGCATGCTGACAGACAAAAAATTTCCAAATTATGATATTGATATATTTAATTAAGATAATTATACTGACGCATCAAAAAAGGATTTGTCATAGTCAAAACGCATCAAAAACGTAACTTTTGTATCACATAATGCGTAAAAATTGAGTGTCTGTTACTGCACTCCAGACAATTACTATATACAATATATCTGTATATTAACTTGTAATTAAATCTATGTTGAATATCATGTGTTTCTTTCTACAAATGGCTTTTAATATATATGCAATTACAACTAAATTAAACTAAAAAGGTTATTAAATTAAAAATTTCTAAATATATTGTCAAAATTTTAAACCAGCTAACAACAATTTTAAATTTTCTATATGAAATAAATACCGATTTTAATATCGCTCTAATAACTATCAAAAAAAATTTTTGAATGCGTGCTTTTGCAAGTGTAAAAAGCACGTGAAAGCCAATCAAATTCAAGAATTTACTTCTAGAACACGATTTCCTAATTTGGTATATTTCCGGACTGGAATTACAATGTAAATTAATTACATACAAAACAAACAAATAATATTCCATAAGAGGCGATGATTTTATCAATATTACTTTTTTTTAACGAGTGCAATGGTATTTTGAATCCTTATCGTTATATATAGTTTCATTAGTAAAGAGGGCTACCTAATTTATATATATATAAGAGTGTTTGTTTAATCATTTAAATTAAGTTTAATTTTTTATATTTTATCAGAAAAATTATGAAAAGTAGTTCATTCACGCCCTATAAGTTCATAAGACTTTTTTTATATGCCTTTTTCATATTAGTTATTAATGCTGGGGTTTTTAGCCAGGAGTGTGGAGTGGATAAACCACCTAAACCAACTACAATTGTTGGATATTATCCAGCTTATAAATATAATTTTAAACCAGATGATTTAAATATCAGTTCGTCGATTACTCATTTAAACTATATTGGTATGCGGAATTTAAAAAAACCCTTTCAATAATTATAAAGGATTAAATTTAATAAATATTATTGGATTTTAAATTCTTATAGCATTTGGCCCAAATGATCTTATTAATGTCACTACGCCATCTACAGTGTTTCAACAACATTACCTCAAATTTAACCAATTTAGAGATTATCTTATTAGAAATCCTAATCGGAAATTTCAAGTGAGTAATAAATGCTGAGTACATATTAAAGTATTATTGTAATGACTAATTTTCTACTTATAGGTAATCCTTTCAGTCTTGTTGCCTACTAGTCAAGACTTAGTAAAAATATCACCGTTTTCTAACGTTGGAATTGGGCAATATAATCAAAATAATAATGTTGTTAATGATTTGGTTAAAATTGTTACCGACAATTCGTTCGATGGAGTAAGTTCAATAATTCTTATATTTTACATTATTTAATGACGGTTACATTAATTACTTTTTAATTATAGATTGATATTGATTATCCTAATAAGCTTCCATGCTATCCATCGCAAGGGACGCAAGGACAGAATGTCAATACTAATAATTTAAATCCTGTTTTCATATCTTTTATTGCTGATATATCAAGCAAATTAAAACAATCTAATAGCAGTAAGATTTTAACGGTCACAGCAGGCCAATATCCTATATATGGTCTTAACTCCAGCATTTCTGATATTATTAGTTTTGTGAATATTCAGGTAGGATTTAACTTTATTTTTAACAATTGATGTTATAAAGCCATATTTTCCTAAATGTAGCGGATAGTGATGCAGGCGAATTGTCCTAATTATGCCGTAACTTTTGCCATAACTTGTCGTAACTACCTCTGTAATATTAGATATGCAATAACTATAATATGTTGCGGCGTTTTTGCCGTAACTTTATTATCTGTTATGTTACGATTAGTTACGGCAAAAGTTACGGCAATTCTAGTAGCGAGAACATTTTGCTTCCTCGAATTAGGCGATGTCCGTTTATATACACGTGTAAGACTGACTAATATAGTCAATATTGTCTAAATACATACCCTAAAAAATCAAATACGTATCAAAAAATTAACTGTCTAAATGCATATTACTGCTACTGCGCTGACCACGGTACCCGGGCATAACACAATTTGTATAATACCCGGGTACTATACAAGCGATTTTTCAAGGGAAAGATTTTTTTTTACATATGATATATCCCCGGGTATTTTGCATTCTGCCATGAAATTTTTTGATAGGGGTACTATTAAATTTTTTAAAAAATTATTAATCATACATAATAACTTGTTAGCACCGAATACATGATAATGTGCATTAACCTAGTTTATTTAATTTCCTTATACAATTCTAGGCATTTTATCTTAATATAGGTAAAAAGTCTGCGAGTGCTGGAATAAACGATATTCAAAAAATATTTGATACTTGGGATAGTTATGTCAGTAAATCAAAACTCGTTTTGGGAATCGATTTTGGTGGTATTGTTGAAGTTGTTACTTCAAGTAACATTGTATGGGACACTAATAATCAAAACCTTCAGGTTGTAAATGTTACAACTACTCAATTCTCATTTGCTGATGAAACGATTCAAGATCCATGCGGACTTTCAGTATATGCATCTTGGTCGTGGAAAAATTTAAGTACTAATTTATTATCACCTTGTTACACGAGTATTAATAAAAATTCACAATGGAGTTATGGCTTTGACAATAAAGCCCAACAGCCATATATTTACCAACAACAACCACAACCACAATTACAACCACAAATCTATTATTATGTTTCTTATGAAGCTTTTCACTCATTGAAATACAAACTTGATTATGTGCAGCAGCAAAATGCACTAGGAATTGCAATTTTCGATATAACTAAAGATACAGTCGATGCAACATTAATGAACTTCATAATAGGAAATTCGAATAGCACCTCTCAGAAACCAAATACACCTACATCTCAACCATTTCCGACCAATTTAGGTGCAATAGTGGGTGGTGTAATAGGTTCCATTATTTTTGTTAGTGTAATAATGGTAGCTGGCTTTATATTATATCGAAGAAAATACAGTGCAGGAATGCCAGGTCTACTCGTAGATACAAATAATCAGGCGTGCTCTGATACTAATCGTCATGTTTACTCTGATATAAATTGTCAAGTTCGCTCAGATACTTATAATCGGATTTACTCAGATACAAATCATAAGGTTTCCTAATGGTCACACCACTGGTGTTCAACAAAATATCATAAAAAATCACAATTTTATTTATGAAACTATCCTTTTTTTTCTAATAAAGAATTTTACATAAAATTTGGTACAATATATATCTTTTACTAACTAATAAATTTTGGCAATTCGAAATGATCAATATACTGGTATTGTAAATTTTTTTAAAAAATATTTTTAATTTATTTAAAAGATAAATATGAAAAATTTTTGTCACTTTTCAAAAAAAAATTCCTACATTTGGTGACAAAGTCAAAATACTTCGTCAAAGATTTCGAAAACTTTGTTGGAAATTGATTTCTTTCATGCTGATTTTAACTGAAAAAGTGGTAAGTACATTTTCTAATGCAGGATGAAAGCCTAATTTAATATGAAAATATTAAACTTTCTTTGAAATGCTTTTTTTTTAATTTTATTGTTTTTTTTTAGCGGTCAGGATTTAGGTTAAATTTGTTAATAAAAGAATAAAGTGTGTTTTAGTAAAATTTATATTTTAAATGGAGACACAGATTTGAAGCATCGGCGTTCCAGCATTAGCCGCAACATTTTTGGCAGCAAACCAAATGCTATATATTCTTAAAAGAGTATTAGAAAAATGACTTACTATTTAATGTATCAGTGAGAAAATGTCTTGTTGTGCCGTATCCATCAGATTATATATCTTCTCAAATGTTAGCACAAAAAATTAGTATACGTAAAGTATGTAAAGTCGAAAGAACTCAACCTAAATTTGTTAGCTAACATAAAAATGCAATTGCACAGATAAATATAAGAATAATTCCGTCAATGTAAATAAATAATCTATAGTAATATAGTAATATGTGAATATTCAATATAAAATAGCATTAGACAAAAAACAATTTACTTATTTTATATAGCGATAATTTGTTTGATTGTTCGTTTTTAGTATTTAATTCCTACTTATGTCGTTATACGCGTAGAAAAAAATCAAGTCAATTTTCAAACTAGATATTTCGAAACCACATACAACATAAATAACGGTATTATATAGTCTCGTCTCGCTTATAGATGTCGTACGTCGGAACGAAACTATTGTACACTTAAGTTGGAATGGAATTCCGAATGTAGACCAAGTTGATACGAAATTTAAAAGCAACTCGATTCTAAATTTGATACTATATAATCAATAATATCAATAAGTTAATATTAATTTAAGTTGAATTTAAATTCGATATTGTAATAAATGTGTAATCGATTTACGTAACGATAGACATAACATTATAAGATAACATACAAATGTTTTATTTCGTCTACCTGCTGATCGAATTTCATTTTTATCTCAAAAAATTGCTTTCCAAATATTTTAGCAAAATGTCAGCGAATGGGCCTTTATAACACGTAAAAACTTTGATTTTTGCATTAAGATTTTACAAAATCAAGAAAACACAATAATCGGGAATGCGAAAGTGGCTCAAACTTGTATTCATTGAGTTCACAAGTTGGATAGTATTTCTTCAACATTCATAAGCGTTCTAGATGCGTATATTATGCAACTTCTTCACAAGTTCCTTCGCAAGCCTCTTCGCAAGTCTCTTCACAACTAGGTAATATTAAATGCAATTGCAAAAATGCGTGTGGTAAAAATCATTGTAAATGTAAAAAAACAAAAATGCTAACTAATTATAAATGTAAAAACTTTATGTAATGCGCAATGTTATAACTAAACCCTATCTTAAAGTGACTTCAATTCAAAACCAACATACTTGATAGAATAATTTTGTTGTAAGTTGAATTGGAATTCTTTAACACCTTTAGACGTATTTTATAATTCTATTACAGCTAATCCCGTTCCGACGTACGACACTACAATTACTGAATTACAGGAGTTTTAACAATGCAAATTAATTATTCCTTTTTGAGTTATTGCTACATCTATACTTTTACATACGTAGCAAAATACAAATAATATTCCATAAGAGGCAATGATTTTATCGAGATTACTTTTTTTAAACGAGTGCAATGGTACTTTGAATCCTTATATATAGTTTCATTAGTAAAGAGAGATACCTAATTTATATATATAAGAGTGTTTGTTTAATCATTTAAATTAAGTTGAATTTATTTTTTTATATTTTATCAGAAAAATTATGGAAATTAGTTCATTCACGCCCTATAAGTTCATAATACTTGCTGTTTTCATATTGGTTATTGATATTGGGGTTTTTAGCCAGGACTGTGGAGTGGATAAACCACAGCAACTAAATACGATTGTTGGATATTATCCAGCTTATAAATATAATTTAGCGGCAAATGATTTTAATATCAGTTCGTCAATTACTCATTTAAACTATATTGGTATGCGGAATTTAAAAATCTTCAATCATTATAAAGGTTTAAATTTAATAAATATTATTTGATTTAAATTCTTGTAGCATTTGGCCCAAATGACCTTACTAATGGCATTGCGCCATTTACAGCGTTTACTGATCAACAACATTATATCAAATTTCAGCAATTTAGACAATATCTTGTTGGATATCCTAATCGGACATTTCAAGTGAGTAATAAATGCTGAGTACATGTTAAAGTACTTATTGTAATGACTAATTTTCTACTTATAGGTAATCCTTTCAGTC